AGAGAGAGAGAGAGAGAGAGAGAGAGAGAGAGAGAGAGAGAAAGAACATGTGAGAGCTAGTGAGTGTGCTGGTCAGGTAGATTCAAAAAATGCTTATCCTGGAAGGTAGTCGAGTGCAGACTCTTGAATCAGAAACTAGACTGCATCGCTCGTGCCTCTGTTCCATCACCTACCAATTAACTTTTCTAAGTTTTGGTTTTCTCAGCTATAAAATGGGAATAATAAGATCTATTTTACAGGGATGATACAGGGAGTAAATGAGATAATGCATTAGAATTGCTTAGCATAGTGCCTGGCTATAATAGAGTACAGTAAATGCTGGCAGTATAAAAATTACCATTGTCATGGGCCTGTCCTTTTTTAACACTAATGGAAAATGAGGCACAGGAGCAAGGCTGGAAAGGCACATATTCTGTCTTGGAATAAATGGAGTTCATTGACGGCTTCACACAGAAGCTGGTAGGGTTGCCTGTGTGACCTTTGCCCTTTCTGTCCTCTGTCATGTCTTCACCACATCTACCATTCCCGAGTACAGAGAGGCCAGCTTCAGGGGTCACCTTATTGACTTTTTTCACCTCGTGATCATTACCCTCTTGATGTCTTTCCCCATAATATATTGCTTTGCCAATTCCAGACCCAGAAGATCTTGACACAGTGGAAAGAGCATGGGTTTTGGAGCCAGATAGATGGGTTGCAACTCTTCTTTAGCTACGTCCTAGCGGTGTGACCTTGCTTAAGCTGCTTAGCTTCTCAGAGCCCCAATTCTCTCCTCTGTAAACAGGTCTAGCACCTCCTTCAGAGGGTTCTTGTAAGGATGAAACATGTAAAATACCTAGCACAATGCATGGCTAACAGACACTTAATAATTGCTGGCTTCTTTCCCCTACTGTAAGCCCATCAGCAACTAACCTTTCGGGTTCCTTTGCAGAACTATGTGGTGAGCGTTAGACATGTACAATTCTAGAATGTCAGAGCAGGTAAGACTCAAAGATCAATCAAATCTGATTACTCTTCTTAGTAATCCTACTGATGAATCCAAACTTGGACACATGGTTTTGTCATGCTTCCCTGTTGCCCCTCCCTGATGCCTGGGAGTTACGGAGGATGAGTGGTTTTACATAGGGGGCGGAATGCCTGGAAGATCCAAATATATTCTCTGGAGAGGTGTCACTGTATGTATCATTCCTCAACAGCAGAGAAGGAAGAGATTTCACCCAGTCTGAGAGATATTTTGGGATACTGTGAGGTGCCTGTAGTGACCTGAGACATCACAGATGCCTCCAGCTTAAAGCTTCCTTTTCTGTAAGAACAGCCTTCACACCATTTATTCCAAGTGCTGCTCACAATTGCCTTTGGCTTGTTTTCCCTCTGGCAGTGGTTCTCAAACTCCAGTGTG